CCCCTATTCCCCCCCCCCGCCACCTGCTGCCCCCCGCGGCAGCGCCGGCTGGTCCTCCAGGCCCACCGGCCCCAGAAACCCGCGGCCTTGCCCCTTCGCTGCCCGCTGCGCCTGCCCTGCCAGGGCTTCTTCGCCGGACTGCCTCCGCGCGGCCCTGAGCATTACCCAAGGCCCTCCCAACGCCGGAGGAGTAACCCAAAACGCTCCCTTTCCTAGCACTTCGGCTCAAGTTCCTGTTCCTTACTCTTCTCTGCGGAAGTAGTTTCTGCTGTCCCATTCAACATCCTTTCATTAGCGCCTCTAATAACAACGATGTCACGCAGACGTATGCCTGTCCCTAAAGAGAACAGCACCATGATATCCAGGACATGGGAAAGCAAGCTGGACAGTGGCTATTTTAAGGACATAGCAGAAATGCACCAGGCGAGCCCTGCTGGCTTTCGTGGCAGCTAGACGGGCAGAAAACCAACGATTATTATCAGTGTTTGTGTTTGCTTTTGAAAAGGTGAGGCAACTATCCTTTTCACCAACAGCCAGAGCAAACAGAAAATACATTAAATCTCTCACTTCTTCAGATGTTGGGGCAGCTGCAGAAACAATGCTGTCTGAAGTTATGTAGTATTAGCCTAAGAGAGAAAAATCACTTTTAAGTTAGGGAATTCAAGGTTAAGACATACAGTGTCCTTATATTACACAATGGAAGGAGGTTTAGTTAATTAAAACAGATGGAGTAGGGACTATGTGAATGTTGGAAGTGCTTGCTGTCAGTTTGTCAAACCCTGAATTTGACCTATTTTGGCATAGTCTATTTAAAAGAATGACAGTGGGATAATAAATTCCTTTCCCTCCTCAAAATTACATTTCATGTGAGTCAATAAAATAAACATATATGAAAAGTCTAATTTGGTTTTTAGTCATTATTTAAATTTGAGCTTCAGTGGCCTGGCTGTGAAATTTGAATGGAAAATTACACTTGGAAGTTATGAAGACAGAGGTGATGGTTTTGCATGTCTAGCACTGCAAAGAGAAATATATATTAGAAGAGCTTTTAAGAGTACATGTAAAGTTTTTATTTCATATTTACTTTAGAAACCACCCTCTTAAAGAGTAGTAGGCTTGAAATTATTCTGATAATGACACTAATGCAGAGTATGTATATTCAAACTGAATCATGTCACTTGACCAGGCTCACACACTGCCCTGCAGCAATAAAAGCACACAAGGGAGGAAGAACAGGTTGATAAGGACATGTTTAGTTGTCAGCCTTCCAGCTACACATTGAGTAATGCTTTGGATGCTTCTGAATAACTACATTATCCATTAACCTCCTTTATTACCCCCAAGTTTCCTGATTTTTAGGGCTCGTTTTAAAGGGCGTACTTCTTAGTAAGCGTGATCCAGCCTTCGCTACATAAGCACACTACCCCTCGCTGATCCTGGATGTGATTGATTTGGGGCCCCATGAACTATCCGCTGCAGGCAAGCACAAAGCCTGTTTGTCTCTGCTACTGTCTTTGAAACAATATGAAGAGCTTTGTCTTAGGCAGCACAGCTAGGAAAACGATGCCTTGCTTCACGCCAGAGGTGTAGTTGCCAGCAAAGGCCAATGTAGTCAGCGTGGCCAAACCTGGAGCACACGCGTCCTTCCCATCCTCCCGCAGCCTGCCGTTGCATCATAGTGCCAGCCACTGTCATTGTCAGGGCTTGCGAGCGACTGCTTGCTCAATCCCCTGATAGATCATTAAGGTATTAACTTGTTTGCATGTCTGTTTGCCCTGGCTTCAGGTACTTTGGAGTAGGATTTTAATTACCATCTCTTCCACCACGTTAAGATGTGACATGGATGAAAAGGTCTTTGAAGGCCTCTAAAGGGAAAAACTCCCCCTTTTGTGCTCACACCTTTTTACGAGCCTTTTGATCCTGCCCCAGCCCAGGCCTACGGCATTCGCAGTGCCAAGCTCTGCGTTAGCTTTAAACTGCTGAGAGGAAGAAAAGAACAGTTAGGAATCGCTGATACATTAAATGACTAAGAGCGCAACCCACTATCAGTAGACACTCCTGTTGGTAGCCTCTGCAGAAAGGGTTAGTAAGCACAGCGTGGCCACCGAGGTCAGACCTACCCATCTGCTTTGTTCTCAGCTACATACGTGCATCAGTTGGAAACCTGTTCTGTGGAGAATAACTAGGGATTCCTTCTACATCAGGAATTACCTGGAAAGCGTCAAGAGAGTTCAACTCATCCTGCATAATTTGCTTGTGTCCCCTCAGCAGGTGAGGTGGCCTGAGGGAGCTGGAGGAGTGCCTTGCATTCCTAAGATTAGCAGCACAGGAGAGAAACTGAAGGACAATTTTGTTATCCTTATTTTCCCTCCTACCTGGGCTTAAATGTGCTTGTTAATTTAATCGGTAGTACACAGCAGTCAGCCAAGCACTGATTTGCATTAACTATCAGTACGATTTGAAGAACGAGGAGGCGCTGGTTTTCAGTAGGCGACAGAAAGCCTACACTGTTCTGTGCTATTTGTACTGTCATTGGGATCCTAAGCAACACAAGCCTGTCGCTGCCCCGAAGAGGCAACACCTCTCCTGCCTCCAGGAGCTGCGCTCGAGGCCACATTCAAATCCAGAACCAAGTCATTGAAGAGAGTTTTATTTCTACTGCTTTTCTAGCCAAAGCGCAAGTGTGCACCAGTCCCCTGCTGGGTCTGCATTTCTCTGATTGAAGCGCACGCTGCGTTAGACTGGACTTGCATCAGAGCAGAGCCAATGGGTACGTGGCATAAATACACGCGACGTTCAGGTTGAAGTGTGAGATTTGTCCTCAGCTAACGTGGCAGTACAGGCAGAGTCTTGGGGGCCAAGCTACCCGACAGACACTTTTTTCCCCTGGGCAATAAGAAGTATTTTCAGCCAGAATGCATGCAGTGGGGTTGCAGCCTACCTCCAGCTCTCTGTAAATTGTCAGTGGTGCGATTTGCTTCTCTGCTTAGAGTTTAAAAGTTGAACCTTGAGGGTCATTATTTTTCCCAGGCTTTTCTCT